AATGTTAGTTATCGTTATTAAAAGCGAAGATCTGCTTCGATCAAAATACAGTAGAATCTCGATTGTTCGAATTAATCAGAGGATTTAGGTGGTTAAATGGTAGAACAGTTTGTGTGCTTTCTGGATGTTAATCTTCATATACCAGCTACTTAACACGAGACAACGATCGTCTGACATTGCAAAAAATTAATTTCTCACGTGTGGGATTAATACTTAATACACAGTTAGTATCATATAAGAAAATATTACACTAATTTCATTTCTAAGTTGCAAATAATTTCATCAACTAGGAAAATGACTCCTTCCATCGCGGTGTCCATCTTTCGCCAGAACGTTGCGAAAAGGTGATAGAAAGTGGTGAAAAATATTTTTACTAAAAAATATTGTGCGATTTGTAATTTAATAATAGAGAAATTACATACAGAAACGACGGAAACTTTTGCCAACCATTGATACTAAAATGAAAACAAGGAAAAAGGCGCGAAAAGTTAACAGGAAAAAAGGTTAATAACGGAAAGGCGCGCGATTGTTCGTTCGAAAAATTTTCTTGCTGAAAACACAGTGAGAGCTCGAAATCATCTATAAACCGCCACACACGGTACGCGGCGCATACTACGATATTTTAATATCCGCCAAATAGTTTCGGCCATGCTTCAAAGGATTAAATTCGCGTATTAATAAATCCACGAAACGTTCGATGAGATCCACCTATCGTAATATCATAACATAACCCGTCGGAATTTTCGAAATTTTCCTGCCCTGTCAAATAAATTCCGTGACGAACCTTCGTCGTTAGAACATTACCGAGCCACTAACAGCTACTTAATTAAGATTAATTACTTGATTTCTCGGTTACGCGTCCAACAGTTGCTCGTTCCGACGGGGGCCACCGAGCGAGTTTGTTTCCACGGCACGGACAAACGATGAAAAAAAAAAAGAAAGAAAAATAATAAAAATGGAACAAAAAAACCAGCACACACATCCGAAATGAAATTTCGCCCGAATCCTCGTTTGAAGATCCTGCTAACGAACGTTTTCGTTTACAACAGTCACCGGAATATAATCATCGATTGCAATTTCGTGTATTCGTATGTGACAAAGCCAGTGCGCCCGGTGGATTAAATAAATTCCATAATACTCTCCACTTCGATCCCCGGTGAATAATACGTGCTTCCACGTATTTATTTACTAGGGATACATGCGCGCCCATATACACAGCCACGAATTTATAAAGCTATCACGTGCCCTGCTCTGTCGATCATCGCGCGCCACTTGTGTGTCCGTATAAATATGGCCACGCAGTTAGCAGTCTGGCTCCTTCAAAAAAAAAAAAAAAACGTAAAAGCTTCCGATTTCATCTACACCCCGCAAAACTTTTATCGACAATCATTTGTATCGGCGAAGAAACGATTCGTCGATCGTCGGCTTCGAGTTTCCCGATGCACGAAGAAAATCCTAATTCAGAATCATTTTTATGAGAATAATAAAAAGATATGCAAAAACTATGAGCAAAAAAAAAAAAAGAAATCGTTGTATCGTATTGGTTTCTTCGTATCATTCAAATCGCATAAAAAATATTGTTTGTACCGTCATAATTGGAAGAGATATTCAAGTGGTCTAGTTTAGGTGGGACCACCCTGTATAAATATCGGTCCCATACAATCACGTCAAGGCTTGTTCCCATAAAAGCTACCTCTCTATTCGAAACTTCAGCTTCTCGTTTTCCAGATAAATGTACAAGAGAAGAATTGAGAAGCGATGAGACGTCTCGCGCGAGCGTTAGAATGACGACAGGGAAGACACGAGGAACGCGTAAAAAAGAAACAGAAGAAAAAAAAGGGCGCGAATTTCCTCGTCGACGATTTATACCCTTCGTATAAAAATCGTACACCGAGCACCCTCGGTGACTCGTATGCTCGTTCTTCCAGCACGTTTCATCCCCTCGCTGTCAGACGACTGACAGTGCACCTCTCCTCTACTCTTTCTTTTTCTCACAGCCGCCATCTACTCTCGAAATTTTCCCTTCTTTCATAATTTTATTCATTTTTCTTGCCAGCGATCCTACGGCCGTCTGTTTGCCTATGGAAATCCCGCACCGACCAGCTACCACTTCCTCTTTCTCGAGCCCAACACTTTTCAACCCTCGTGTACATTTCGCGCCAACCCCTCAGCGGGCTGTCTGAATATTATTAGTAATTAACGAAAGGAACGGACACGCCGCGGAATTCCTGCGGCTAGCCGCGTAAAATGATTTCATTATCGAAAAGTTTCCCACGAGGAGAAGAGGTCTCCCGACAAAATTTCGAATTCGCTGGAAACTTTCCAGCCTCCCTTGATAAGCTGCGAGTTACGCGAATCTGTTAACGTTGTACCGTACAAAATTTTATTTTATTAAGAGCTAATGCAGTCTTGATCCTTAAAGATCTCAACTCACCCCTGACGTGACTGTGGAAGGAACTTGGTTTACCAACGAAATTATTAAGAACACGTTTTAAATATTAAGATATATATGTATATTAGATTAGCAAGAATGCACAGACGGGCGGACTATTAACAATGAAAATAACCCTACAGTGACAACGGTACTTGCTTTCTCGGTGCTGTTATTTTCGTATTCCAGTGACTAGCAGTAACGTCTTATTGTATCCTACGAAAAGTTGTTGTTCAGATACTGACTAGATTAAAATCGGTAGTGACCGTGACGATAAAAACTAACCTATAATATGGATTTCTTTCATAAATATCGAGCGCCAAATTTTTGGAAATGTTCATTTCCATGAACGTCTGTAATACTCTTTCTAAAAATAAACAATTTTTAACGAAAATGTTATTTTTACTGACTGAAAATACTGAAAACTGAATACTGAAAATTGTTGGTACATTCAATGAAAACAACTACAACCCAGTGAGCTCTACGACAAAATGTGAATAGACACAAAAGTGGAAACCAATGCGCGAGGAGTGAGGGAGGAATGTGGTGGAAGATATACGATAAATGCAAAAATGAAGGCTCGAGCTGAAAGGAGACTGACCAGAATTATCGTGAATATTAAAAAAAAAAAAAAGAAAATGATGAAAATTCGAATTTTTGCCATTGTGGGTTTAAAATGAACAGACAAACCCTCTGTTTGCATTCACAGCCGAACGATCACTCGTAGGTCAATCAGCGTTTATAGATGTAAAAGAGCTTAAAGAGAGGACAGCGAAAGAGAAGAACGAGAGCTAGCTTTAAATTCGATAGTTTCGTACGCCGGTGGCCCCTGGAATTTATGTATTAATAACAAGTGTGTTTATCGATGACTTTAACGTCGAATAAAGAGATAATTTTGTCAAAGTAATCCGGCGCATTCTCCCCGATGTGTTCGCGACAGAACACTTAGACTGCTGCAATATTTTTCAAAATGTTAACTACCATCGCTTACACCGTAATCGAATTAAGATAGATATATTTTGAAAAGTACTCACGGTACGAGAAAATGGTACTGGACAAACTGAAGATGTGTTAACGTCGTTAACTTTTATTTTTGAACATGTCTATACAGATTTTTGCTTTCACTTAGGTGTGAGCGTTGTTGATGTGCAAACGAACTGAATTTAATTTAAATCGTCTGCACATGCACGTTTCACTGAAAGCAAATTGTCAGATAAGGAGCGAATTAATGTCGAAGTATCTTATCCGAAGAGCACGACATACACCCAGAAGTTAGTATCAACCGTGAAAAGCCGTATCATGAAAAACTCGAATATCTTAAATCACTTTGTACATACACAAAAATTATTCTTAGAAACACCTACCGAACAATTTCTTTTTTTTTTTGTAGACTACGAACGTGGAGAGTTAAACAGAGGGAGAAACGCACGCAGATGTCTAGAACTGTTGTGGAATAACGTTGTCAATTGAAATATCTGTTGGCACGGCACGAGTTTCAGCGTGGCTGTAATTTAACCTGCCGGTGGATTATATTTCGAACGAAAGCTTTTGCGAAAGTATCAACGGCCGTGGCTTGGCACAAGCGTGCATCATTCGCCGTCCGGTTCGGTGCGAATTTCAAATATCGAAAACCTGATATAACGAACGTTATCGCGAATAATAGCGAGACCGTTGACAGACGATGACATTGAAGAGTACTTTTCGCTACGTAACCGAATCAAAGCGGAATATCCGAGCCGACGAATCGTTAGTACGTTAGGATAACGTTCGTCGGAATCGCCGTAATTCGCTTAACACCGGAACTAACTAACAAATTCAATTTTCCACCTGCGATCATAATGTCCCGATATAATCGATAAAGCGACGGTGTTTGTGAAGTTTGTTGTTATGTTTTACGTATCTCATGGAGTGTAATATCGATAGGGGTAGATAGATAAATAAAGAATTTTATCCAAAACAATCTTTATGATTTTGTGTTTTAATTAAATGCATGTAGAATAAAATTATATTGATTATAAATTAGTTGGAATGTCTTCTAATTGTTATCCGAATAAAGTAGCGAGCATATTGCCAATAAACTTATAGACGATTTCATAGCTAAAAAAAAAAAAAAAAAAAAAAAATCATGGCATATATCCAATCTTTTAAAGGAAAATATAGATGATTATAATTACTTAGGATGTCTTTTAATTGTTTTCTGAATGTTTATATATCCTAAGTAAATGTGATTATAACTAAATGTAAAGAATTATGCCGTGTAAGTGTTCGCCGCTACTACGCTGGCAAGTGTATTTTATTATTACAAAACAAAATCCTGAAGCCTCTTACAAAATTGATAGACATCATAGGTCAATATCGATTAGTATATTATATAGTCGATTCTACACAAATCTGAAGAGGTTAATGCAAGTTAAAGTGTTCTGTGCTTTTTGTCAACATAAAAACGTGAAGGGAAGCGTACTACGTTAATAGCAAAAATATTATTTTGTCACGTAACAATACATGGCTGTATACCGTGACAGTGTTACTGGAAAATGGGTTAGATCTTAGATGTTTGATTTTTTCTCACCCATGGGGTTGCCACCTTTTGAACAGTGGAAAGTAGGACAGTTCGAAGCTATAAAAAGAAAATATTTGGTAAGATACAAGATTAAAATATGTTTCATTGTATGGAGAGTAATATGTTCATTCAGATAATAAACTTCATTTGCAAGATCTCCTTTTTAATTATTGAAATTCTTGTTAGAGATTTGAATGAACTTCTTGAAACAATGACAGAAAGAATTTCATTTTGTTTAGAAGTTACGTTCTTATTTTCCAACGGCACTGCACACGGAATACTTCGATACATTTAATTTCATCAGACGTAAAAACCATTCCGTTGACAACGTGAAAAGATGAATGATTAATTTAACGAATTCATTGGTGGAAATTATGGCGGTGGAAAATCGAGCATTTCCAAAAATATTGCTTTAATAATTTGCGATGATCGCTACACGTTGTTCCTCGGCGGAGTGGTCAGAATGCGAAGTTTTCCATTATTTTTATTATAACAATCGGATATTCGACAATTGTGATTTAACGCGCCGTTTAATAAATTGGCATAGGCAACGAACAATACCTATTCGAAATGGCTCTGTATACCCTATTTTAATTTTTTCTGCTGCAAAATTGCTATATACAGGGTGTTCACCCTGTTACTACCCAGTTTTTTTCTCGTAAACTGAGACTTTGGTAATCAACCGGTAATATATTTAAAGTAGATCCATTGTAACGAAGATTAGGTTGAGAATTTAGAATGTCGGTACTCTACGTAAAAAATTGAGTCGAAAATGTAGAATAAAATTGTTTTCATATGACGTTTTATTTTCGAGAAAAATAAGGTTGTAAATTTGTCGAATACGCGTACATTCGGGCCAGGTTCAGCTCGACGGATTTCATTGAAGACCATAAGCATAAGAAGAAAGTAAAATCGATGTAAGAGATATCATCAGGTTGACAATGTTTCTAAACATTGCAAGGAGCACAGAAGTACTCTGCCTGCTCAGAACAGTAAGATAGCCAAATCCGTCGAACTGAAGCTAAATCAAGTACACGGATGCTTGACAAATTTTTAAACTTTTTTTTTTCAAGAATAAAGCATCACATGAAACAATTTTATTCCACATTTTCGATTCAATTTTTCACGTAGACTCACCCCCTTTTACTCACTTGTACCACCGGTTACGGGACACTCTGTGTCTGAATATAAGAACAGAATTAATTTCTACACCTATCGAAGCGATGCAGTTATCGTCTCGTATCTTGTACCGCGACGGTGAAGTGTTGTTACATAATGTTTCTGCACAATTGTCCGATTAATGCTGGCTATCAGTTTTTCACGGTGAAATAATCCTCTCAGTGTCTACGTCATCGCGTCACGAGGCGGAAAAAGGCAGCACGTGTTCCAGGTGAATTCCATTTCTCGTTTACGGGCCATGCAGTGCACCCATACACGCGTAGACATGTATAGCTAGTCACTATAAAAGCACCTACATCCACCCCTCTGCAACCCGAACTGTTTTCAACTAAAAATGAAAACACAAGTCCATGTAATGTATGGATTACAAAAGGATCGAACCTCTACGTTTCGCAACGTCAATATTTGCGGTATGTAGTTTGTCCTGCAAAATTTAAAACGAAATTTAACAAAACGTAAATTGTTCCTTTGCTCCGCGCCCGCGATACGACGCGTCATCTCGCTGCATCTTTTACTACAACTGTCAGACCTGTTTAATTAATGCTAATTATCACGACTAGTTGAAATAAATATTCCTATTCCGCCGTTCAGATATCGACCAATTTTTCAACGTACAACTACTAAGAACACTGGGATGCTTCGAATATGAATTTTGAAAATATTCTTTGGTTAAATTTGTACAGAAAATTTGGAAAAGATACGAGAACAAATAAAAACAAAGTGCGACGATTTCCTTATTGTAATCAAGTACTACGTGAATGTACAAGGTAAGCTTGAAATGAAACAATTTAAAATTGAAATAGCTTTTTAAGAAATGTAGCGATTCGAATCAAATTTTTGTTATATACTGTTTAAAACGCATCGGACAAATAATGGCATGGATTGTGATATCCAATTATTTACCAAAATATTATCTAGAAAATTACTAGTAATTGATTTTCATAATAAAAAAAAATCAAAGTACTTCCTTAATTCGTATACATCTTATCTGTAAACGATTTTAATCTTGCACGATAGAATTTCTAATAACGCGCAACATACCATCACGTAATAGATAGATGATATGTATTACCATGAAACATACACGTAATTGAATGGTCGATGGAAAACTTCATCGACCTCGATCGTAAATTAACGATTAGGGCTCCTAATTGCATATCGGAGCAGATGCAACATGTATCGCGTGCACTGAAGTACAAAGGACGAACCACAGGGTTCTGCTGAGTAGTAACCTAATCAATGAACATTTCGCTGGAGATTTCCGTAATTGCGATGACGCATTGCACGTTCAATATCCCTTAGAGATGGATATACAAGGAAACGGACGAACGACTAAGAAGTGTATCTACACCTGTAACGTTGTTTTAATGACCTAACTCTCGATATGTTCGAATGCCGAACATCTGCTTTACGTTGTACGTCGCATTGCACATGTTTGCACCTATTACATTAGGTGTATGCATACATTTTGTAGGTTACATTTAGATGGTGCTAGAAAACGATATATCTACATTTCAGAACAAAGTACTTTTTAATGTTGATATCACTGGTCAGCATCAAAATAAATAAGTATAGCAGTTGTTGATGTAACATCATTTTCAGTTTACTTTTTTTAAATTTGGTATGTTTCATTTGGTTAACAAAGTAATTAGGTACAAAACCTTGTGCGCACACCTAATAGTTTAAGATGAAATTGTTCGATAAATTCTTTGAAAACTTTTATCTCTCAAAAGATTCTGATTCGACGGTAACACTAACTGAACGAATGGAAGAAGGGTCTATGTTACAAATGTACAATTTAATAGGAATAAGGAAAAACTATTAATATCATTGATTAGCGATGTTCTAAACACTTAGTGCAACAGAGGCATTATTTCCAATCTTAACCCTTTGCACTCGAGTGGTGACTCTCGGTCACCACTAGGTTTCCTTTAGGTTTAATTTCTTTGGAACTCGAAGTGTCAATAAAAGGATGGTCGTTGAGGCAAAGGTGACCTGATTTTCAAATCTCAAATTAGAGATCTCATTTTCGAAGTCAATCTAAGCTTACCATTCGTGACAATAGAATGCTAAGAGAGCATCTCGAGTTGCTGACAGATACCGGAATAAAAGGTCTCGTGTGCAAAGGGTTAATTATTATCTTATTCTCCACTTTTGTCTTTACGCTGAGAAAAGTAATAATATCATTTGTAAGATAGATCTCTCTTCCAGAGAAACACATGAGAAATGTTTATTAGAAATTCGAAGGTGCGCGAGTGCACACGTCAATTTATAGAGGTTAAATTATGAGAAACCTCGATCAATCCGGCAATTACACGATCCGAACAGACGGAAACAAACGAATCGAAACGAGCAGTGGACATCGATAGAGGATGAAAAGTGTGGGTTCGGGGTCACAGGACGAATTAGAAGAATTTCGCCATAAAAACCGGTTTTCGAGGAGGAGGGGTTGGTTGGTAGAGTACCATGGAATATGGGTGTCGGTGATATTGTACGGTACCCGATATTAAAATGCCGGTGATTGATGTGTGTACCGTGCTGAGCGGTAGCGCGTTACGATACACACCGTAGCATCGAGGCGGCCAATGGGAATCCCACCCTACACACCTTACTAAAATACGGGTCCGTCATAACGGGGTGATATTGCATCTTCGAACGGCCTACGAATTCCCCGCTTCTTTGTGATCCATCGAAGAGTAGCCAAAGTTTTCGTGGTCGAGAGAAAAAAAGAAAAGGACGATCGGTATTTATATCTGCGTAAATCATCGGGCTATTGTGGGACGCCCGGCATCTTTCCGCTTTCGGAAAAGGGGGACGCGAGTAGTAAATCTTGCGAATATATTTCTTCTATTCCGGAAGCTAACGGAACGTACCTATCTTCCCAATTTTTAATATCGATTGTCGTTGTTTAAACGTCGATTTATAGCCGCAGTTGAACATTTGGAAATTTCATTAACGATATTATTACCTCTAACAAGGACCACAATTCAAGTGACAATCACCGATTTTAAATAAAACTTACTTCACCGAGGCAGTGACATAAATTTTTCTCTATCGATTGATGTTTACGTTGAAAAAATAAAAATTGTTTGCAATGATTGTAGATGAAATGGGTACTTAGTTAAACTTCGCAGGAATGAATGTAGATAAAGCTTGACACAGACAATTATAACTCTCTTTTTAGATCGTCGACATAAAAACGCTTGAAACGTGCTCTGGCACTTACAAGAAAAGCTCTTTAGGTGTCGCCTCCGATTGTTATGATTTTTGGATTTGTTTTCATATATAGGGGGTGAAACGACCCCCTAAGGTTTCAGCTGCGATAGGCTATCTCCGAAACTATCATAGATATAAGAAAACTTTATAAGAAAAAGTTTCATGGATTTCTATCTGCATATAAAATTGCCCCTAAATTTTGTAAAAAATGATTTGTTTATAATAATAGCCTATTGCAGCTGAAGCTTTAGGGGGTCGCTTCACCCCCTAAATATGAAAACGACCCAATATAATCTTATTTTTCGGTCCTTTTAAACATATCCAAAAATTAAAATAATCGAATGCCGACACCTAAAAAACTTTCCTTCTTAGTAAAGAAGATAATATTGAAAAACAATTGACGATGCATACTGTTTAGCTCGGGGATTCCTCGAATTTTACAGATGGTCCCATTAAAAATATAAATTTATTGATTGTGACGGGAAACTATACACTATCTGCTACATGTATTAACAGTGGTCATAGATTCTAATCCAACTAAACAATACCGTGAAAGTATGAAAGCATCATTTTACGTCGATAAGAAACACACAAAGAATACGATAATCGCGACGAATTAATCTCCATTCATACGCGCCATATTTACGAATCATCGATTAACA